TGACGCCATCAATTATTAATTGTCCATATCTAATTCAGGATCCTGCCCTCTCATATGCTCGGGTGCTCTCCTCGTGTTGGGAAAGAAATGGAAATCTAGGTAGTATATATGGGTGAGTCCTTGTTGAAATGATTTGGTTCATACACCTACTGTCCTCTCAAAGCTAGCGCTGGATATTTGGAAACCAATTTAAAACACCTCATACTACCTTTAATCTAACCAACAGTCTTCACATTCACCACTGATTCAATTTAATAACATTGCCTGTGGCTGTAGCTCTCTCCAATTATTTGTCATATTAACCTTTTTCTTGCCCCCAGCTTTCACTGCCTCTGTCCATTGTTAATCACGTTGTTTCCTGCTGTTTTTCTTCACTACCTATTGTCTGGTTTATATGTGTACTTCCAAACATAGAACTCTACAATTCCATTTTCCCCAAATCAGATCATATTCTTGAACAAAACCATATTCTCACTGTTATCTCACAGGTCATTTTCATGTCGAACCGTTAACCTCTTAACTGATGAAAATCATTAAATAAATCTTTAAACTGTTAGTTTTTAAAAGGAGACACATCGCTCTATCTAAGGGTGACTAACGGAGTCACAGTGGGGGCTCAAAGTGCTTACCAAGTGTCCCCTTTGCCATTGGTGGATGTATAAAAGTAAAGCAATGTGATCAAAGTGGACCAAGTGTCTTAATTGGATTTGTGCAAATATAGATAGCATAGATTCCTGCTACGCACCACTTCCAAACAATGTGTCAGATTTCAGGTTGAATTCAGACCAATTTGTTGCCTGGGGCTCTTGTCAGGATCGTCTGCATCCATATGTGTTGAGAGTAAGACCTGCAATGCACAGCAGGAAAAGAGAAAGTGCGATGTTGCATTAGCCTGGCAAGCTAATGGTCAATAATGGATGAAATAAAGTGAGAACTTACTAAAGTGTACTTCTGAAATCCCAAATTAGTCTGGGTAGTCTTCTTCATTGTGGGAACACTTTTAGCTTGTGAGACCTGAGATCATGCCGTGCATATTGTTCAGGATTTT